ATATATATATATATATATAAGCAATGGATGAGTAACAGCATACTAAAAAGACAGAGTTCCTTGTAGCTGTGAACATTTCAAAAGCCACATGTCATCATCTATTACACTGAAGGTGAGCTGCAAGTCCATTGAACCAACGGACAATTTGAGTAGGCCTATCATTTTTCGACTCTTCTACGGCAATGTCACTTATGCTCAGAATCTGTGTTGTAACCTGAAATCCCACATTCAAAATATTTCACAAATTCAAAAATATTTTGACACCCAGCTGTGTCATACAGTTGTTAGAGCTCTCATATTATCAAGACTTGATTATTGTAACTCTCTACTACTAGGATCCATGAAGTCAGATTTAGATCACCATCAGCGGGCTGAGAACTGGGCTGCCAAGTTGATCTGTGGTGGTAGAAAGTTCGACCATGCCCCGCTCTATATTTGCGTCAGCTACACTGGCTGCTAGTGCAAGAGAGTGTTAAATTCAAGGTCTTTATGATGGTTTATAAGTGCATCCGACGCCTGGTTCAAGATTATCTATCAGCCTGTTTGCCGTTACTTTACTCAGGGCGCACTGGTCTGAGGTCTGGAAATGATAACACTCTCTCTGCTTCTGGATTCGGTGCCCAATCAACTCACTCGTAACCTCACATCCCTGCTACCCCGCTATTGGAATGACCTGCCACGATATATCTGTTCGGCTGACCCCATTGCAGCATTTAAGAAAGCTGTTAAAACCTATTTATTTCCAATAGACTAGGTTGTAGGTAGGCGTAGATGCCAAAATGATTTTTGTCTAATGATGTTGATGGAATTGGTAAAACAAAAAATACAGGTAGGCCTACTTATTAGATACTGTTATTGAAGTGTATAACATTCAGAATCTATAATTATGGTATTTGTGACCAGAGTAGGCCTATTATTTCCAACGAAAATTTCTAAATAAAAGTATTTCCAGCATTATGTGTCATGGTTCAGGTGTCTTTAATTTAGTTTTAAAAGTGTTAATATCTTCTTAAATAGCAAATCCTAAGCTTTTCAACAATAGTCTTCTAATTCTTGAGCTATTGCTGGGCAGTCAAGTTTTGCGCGGATTATGTGTACAGTGTTTTGATCTTAATAAAATATATATATTCAATGTAACAATACAATATTTATTGGATAATACTTTTATAACAGTGGCACACGTTAGACAAATTCTAACAGTGCATCCAGAAAAGAACAAAGCAACAGAAATAAAAAATTAAATTCTTAATTAGGAGAGATTTACAGATAACTCAAATAACATTATTGCCCACCCACCAATCAAATTAAACACTTACAATAAACTACAAACAAAACAAGAATGACTGGTTTGAAAAGTCGTGCAAAGCAAACCATGACGCTAACCCACCCCGCAACGCCCCGAACCGACGCCACCGGGCCCATGCCAGGTAACGCAGCCAGCCGAATGTTAGCCGTCCTCCCTGTCGTTGGATGTTGTTCGAGGGAAAACCACCAGCACCCAGACAGCCCCACCACCCGACGAAGGTCCGACGTCATAGGTCCGGGAATGCAGCAGAGCAAGCCAACGCCCTGGTTACACTTTGAACGAATTTTCAGTCAGTATGCAGTACATAAATAGAAACCAAATAAAATAATTTGAACATTTAATAATATAAAAACAAAATTTAAATTAAATTAGAATTAAAAGAAAGCGTTTATGCTCTACATACAGTATGAGTATGCACGCACATGAATTATTACACATGCTTAATGCTTAAAATATAATACTGTAATTACACAACAGCACAGATAAAACTTAAGCTACAAAAATTTAAATAAATCACGTCTACTTTTCCACAGAATTTTGGCTAAAGATTTGCAAAATTTGTCAATTAATAAATTGATATTCTTATCTTAAAAGTGGATATTTTCATTTCCGAGGATAAAATGTAATTTATTTCTATTATTAGAATGTTCGAATTCTTGGAAAACATGTAGAAGATTGTTACTATAAAGTTGTTGTTTAAATCTGGCAATTTCGATTTCTCTGATATTATTAAGAATAGGACAAATTAAAAGAAAGTGGATTAAATCTTCCACCTCAATTGTATTACAGAGTTTGCAATTGCCATTATCACAGGGCATATTTGAGAGTTTTGCAAGTTTGTAATTCAGAGGAAGAGTGTTCGAACGCAATTTAAATTTAATGATGCACCCTCAAAGTCACATTTATCGAGAAGGTAGCCTTCTAAGTTTGGTCCATTCTTAATAGCCATATAGTCTTGTATTGATGACTTACTATTCCATCATCAAGCCAATGGGAGAGTGACAGATCTCTCATGATAATTTTTGCTTTAAAAGCCCAATCTGTGCTCACATTATTATCTTCATCTTGTAAATCTAAGAAAATATTATCTATATTACAGTCGTTGAGAATGTTTTTTATACAGGTAAGTATTTTAAAGGCAATATCATTAAGATTATCTGATGATGTATTTACAATAGTTTTCAATAATAATTTAGGCCAACGATTGTCTTCCATTTTTAAAATTCTATCAGTGTAATTAATTCTATAGATATTTTGAATTAGAGAAATTTTGGACCACCCAAGATCACCATACAGTGTAGCGCAAGGTGTATTACGGGGGTGGGGGGCCTTTAAAATGAATCGAGCCATTTGTAGTTATAACTTTTCAATTCTATCGGTGTCACTTTTACTTCCAACCCATACAGAGCTACCATATTATCGATGGAAGAGCAATCGTTCGCCACAGAATATCTCCGTAGTATACTCTATTGAAGCTATTTAAATTACCGATGATTGATTTTATATATCCAATAAGGCGGTTACATTTCTGTACTACATGTTCAATATGTTTATGGTCGTTCATGAGTCTTGATATAGTGACCCCAAGATACTTTAAGTTTCACATTCAGTTATTGATTGGTTTCCTAATTTCCACAACTTGTTTCTGTCTATCCTATTTCCCACGACAAGTACGTTAGACTTGGTATGATTAAAATTTAATTTCCAATCTTTGGCAAATTTGGCTGCTAAATCTAACATCTGTGTCAACTGTCGCTCATTTTCGGCAATTAAAATTACATCATCGGCCCAGAATAAGGCCCCGAGCCATGTGTCATTGATATGAACACCAATATCATTTGTTTGAATTTTTGTGAATTCGTTAATGAATATACAAAATAAAATTGGAGATAAAACGCAACCTTGTCTAACGCCCTGTTCAATGGGAAATTCGTCTGTTATACAATTTCCAATTTTAACCATGCCTTTTATGTTAGCATACATATTATCTATTATTTTCCATAAGCGTCCTCTAATTCTTACCTTCCAGACGGCCTTCAGAAGACCGTCTCTCCATACAGTGTCAAATGCCTTCCGGAAGTCCAGGAAGACCAGATATGTATTTTTCCCTTCTTTGCGTCTACAAGCAGCTATGCTTTTTACAACAAATACATGATCTTCACATTGTCTGTTTTTTCTGAAGCCTCCCTGAACCTCCGAAAGAGCATTATTGTTTTCAAGGTGACTCGACACACTCATTGCTATAATTCTGTTGTATATTTTAGATACACAAGATGTAAGGGAAATACCACGATAATTATTTAAAACTTTCTTATCACCTTGCTTAAATATAGGAATGATAATACTTAAGTTCCAATCAGTTATATATAATATGTGTATTATTATTATTATTAATATTATTATTATTATTAATATTATTATTGTCCATTTCATGAGTCTCAGATAAAGCATAATACATTGGCAATCACGAAAAATTATCGACCTACTTGTAATGAAGTAAATCTAAAACGTACTGATGGAGTATGGTTACCTCTATCGCTATTCCAAAACGTGAACAAAAGTACCAAATAACAATACAGTTGAACAAAATTTAATAATATTAGTGATACCCGACGTACCTGTACAAATAGGCCGCCATGCCGCTTTATTATTATAATTTATTTGATTTTTCATGATATGCTTGCTTGAAATAAAGATGTGTTTACAGTCGTTGTCTCTTTTCAGTCCAACATTGTGTGTTCGCCCTTGTTTACGACGTGCAGTACGTTTGCATGGCGTTTTGTCCCCAAGACGGAAGCTCAAATTATCTGTTTTGTAGGCTTATTCAATTTTTTTCTCAAATCACAATTTAAGCATTAGTATCTTAACCAACCACAATAAAGCATTTAATCCTATTTAGTTCAAATTTTTTTTTTCTGAATCTTTGTACGTAATAGGTAAATTGTAATGAACATAATTTTTAATAATAATAATATGTCGTTCTTATATAGCGCTTCGTGCACAAAGCCTCTAAGCGCTTTACATTACTACCCCGGTCATTGGATCAAACACATATGGAACACATTGAACACCAATATAAATTATTAAATTAAATTATATTATTATTCCATGATATTGCAGCTAATAATCAGCGCAGTACCCACTTGTACTCCTGGGTGGAGAGAGGCAACCGTAGATAAAGTTCCTTACCCAAGGACACAAGCGAATTGCACAGCGAGAGTTTCGAACCGCCGACCACGAGGTTGCTCGAGTCCAAGCCACAACCGATGCGCCAACCGCTTCTTAATAATGTTTAAACAATTACCGATTTAATGAAAATTAAAACCCAATAGGCCTATTATTAGGAGGGCTCGGCAGAAGGCCTGGTGGTAAAAGGCCGGGTGGTAAAAGGGCGGGTAGTAACGGCCAGGTGGCATCTACCCTTTTTTGCTCTAAAGGATAATATGTAAACTTTGATTGTTATTAACCGTAACATAAAATGAAAAAAAAAAAGAAAAACACGAGAAAGAGTTTGCTATAAACATAGATCATTTTGTAATATCGGTGAGCTAAACCTATAATGTTCGCTATTACGGTATGTAAAATCAAAATTATATTTAATCATATGTCTACTAATATGTAAATATTAGTATAAACAATGATTGTTTTCATCAAATTAATTCATAAATAATGCCAACTTTGTCAACATATGAGACGTGTGTCTGAACAATTGAGGTGCAGTAGATAGTAGTTTAAAAAGATTGGCTACTCAGTCTGTGAGTTTGTTTTCAATTCGATTTTGGTTGGTGCTGCCCCTCCCCTGTAATTATTTCCTCCATGAATGTAGCATGCCTTCCACCAATCACGAATATCTTTCTGGCGCACGCAGAACAAAATAAAGATGAAGAGGCCTTGAAGCGAGTTAAAGACGCAAAATAAGGCCTGAAAAACATTCCTAGAATATGATTCACGGTCAACTGCTAAATATCCAAACAACCACGTTAGGCCGAGTAGGATTGAGAGCGCTACACCATTGTATATTCCTTTCATTACTCGCTTTCTCATTGGTTGATTTGATGATTTGGAGATTTTTCGTCCAAAGATCAACTTGTACATAACCAGAGAAAACATTACTCCATTGAACACAAAAATAAACCCGACCATCAGCATGAGTCCGAAGGACCGAACTTTTCCTGGTCGTATGAAGCAGCTGGAAATAAATATTGGAAGCAGATAAAATATTTTAACAATTATACAAAATTACATTGCAATATTACCATTCGCACTGAATTGATAAATCATCGTAGAAAATAAAACAAAAATTTCCTAAAGTCTGATCAACAATTGATTACCAACAATCATAATAACTCAATTAGGCCAAATAGGCATGTACAATAAATATAACTTACGTACGTATACGTATAACATGTACTGCATACAAATACTTACTATGTGTCATTTTCATAATTTTTGACGTCAGAGCCCAGAAATACAGAAACAATAATCAAAGGAGTACCTATAAGTACAGTAATCAGATACAATATAATTAGGTCTTATACTACATGGACTACAAATCAAGGGGTCAAACAAGTCCGACAGGGAATTCCAACTAAAGTCAACTAGCGCCTCCACCCAGGAAGCTAGAATAAACGCCCATGGTGTGGAAGTTAAGCGGATAATCATTGTGGATCAGAATGGTGAAATACGTGGTTTGGAAACATATTAGTAACTGCAATCACAAAATCTTTCTTTGGTTGGACCAGGGAACAGTTAAATTAACAGCCAAAATTACATTTCTGGTCCAACGACCTCAAGTGACTTCGGACTAAGGCCCATGCTTGTTCACCATGCCCCACTTGTGAGACCGCCGAATTGCGTCATATTACTACGTACAGAAGTAGTGTAGTGGCAATTAAAGAATTAAAGGACCTATCCTTGGTGGCAAGATCATACCTAGGGTGGCAAAACGTCTGATGGATAAGCCGAGTGGCACAGTGATGGCGCCAGCACCTGTCCGACGGAGGGGCCAAATGCCCCGACGGGGGTGGTGTCTAGTGGGACGAATCGCGTCTCACTTGGCAGGGGGCCAGACGGCCGCCTAGGGCCACCGGTGGGGGTCCACGGATATTTGACGAATTATGGCGAATTTTTATTACTTATTTTGATAGGCATCGAGTTACTATAATATGACTTCATGTAGGCCTAGTCTATGTTTTCTAATGTCGAAATCAGCTTCCAAAACCAAAACATTTTGAATAAAACAAGAAACAAAGGGTATGCAAAGTAACCATCTCATTTATTTTCAAATCCTCATTCTTGAAAGTGAAATTCTATATTTTGGAAATTTTGCATGGAATCTGTCAACCACGATGCCATGGTCAAAGTTGCTTAACCAATCACGATGTATTTCAAGCATCATGAGGCTATTCGAACGAGCACTTGTCATAACAGAACGCAAATTATTTTTAATTAGTCTCATTAAACCTATTATTATTATTATTATTATTATTATGATTATGATTATTATTATTATTATTATTATTATTATTATTATTATTATTATTATTATTATTAACACAAATAGTTTAATGAAAACAATGTGGTAGCTAAACGAACATTATATGTAAATATTTTTTTTATTTGTTTATTCCCGACAAAATTTACTCGCCTTCCCCGACGGGGGGTGGGGCTATGCTTCCTCGACCGGGGGCTATAGCCCCCAGCCCACTCTCTGGCGCCACCACTGGAGTGGCAACCCACATGGTAGGAGCCGGGGTGTGGGGAAAAGGCAGATTTGGCAGGGTGGTAAAAATGCTCAGTGGAAAATGTCAAATGGTCATGACCTAAATTGCAACAGATTTAAATCCGGATTGCTACTCCATCAAATAATGTCTAGGCTTAAGTGGTCGGTTTCCATTTGAGGGGATTACGACCCTTCACATTTAGTTTTCTTAAAAAATATGTTGGCCTTATTGTTTGTTACTGGGCAATTACTATGAGGCGAAATACACTTGCCACTCATCCAATGCAGGCCATGATCCAATTTGTTTTTAGAGGGGAAAGAAGCAACAGCAATTGTCTACATCACTGACTAAATACGACGTAACAAGGAAATGACATCAGAAAAATTATTAAATACATAATTTTTTGCTAGCATAAATCTTCATTCTAAATATTCTGAATTTCCCATATTTGATTGCATTGGAATAACAAAGAGGCCTCAGGCACATGAATAAGGCTTTTTAGGGACCGACTGCCTTGGGTTGGATCTGGGTTGAGCTGAATGGTCCCCGTGTCCTCCCGATTGTTTGGTATTTCATTAAGAGCGATATTTTGATGATTTTTGGCCAAATTTTCCAAATTGGCCAATTTAAGTCAAACAAATAAATAAAAAAATAAATAAAAACACTGATGAATAACCCAGAACTTCTTAAAACAAGATTTCGTAGATGTTACGCCACTGTTTGATTGATTGTGATACAGTTTGTAGCCACACACATTACGCAATCAGTGACTTTGCCCCTACGCACGCATATGAAGTTGGGCACTTACTGCGTTGTACGACGATCGTACGACCGTCGGCAAATGAATCCAAGTCCGCTCCCTGTGAGCGCTTGACGACGCGACGCCGTCTGCTGATTTTCAGTGGCAGTCTGAACGGATCGTCATTAAAAACGATCCGTTGAATTGGTGGGCGCGCGTCGTGGTGTTGCGTTCTCCATAGAATCACGTGGCCGGCGACCGACCGTGGGCACTCACTACCGGTGCAGCGTTCCCGGCTTGAAAAATCGGCTGCTTGTGAAACAACATTGATGTGCATAAGCATAAACAGCATATAGGCCATACTTACCATATGCAAGTAGAGATGCTTTAAGCATGAAGTAGCGAACATTGTCTTGAAAAACTTTCACAAACATGAGATACAAATTGACTGCTTCTATTGACATCCAACATACAGAAGCAAGCACAAAGTAATGAAGCAGGGCTGCCACACCGATACAAACATTCCTGGATGCAGTTTTCTCAATTCCGATGATGAATACGAGGTAGAGCAGTAAAAGAGAAACTGAGAGGTTGATCAAGATCTTTTGAGGGCGCTTCATTGCCACATTTCTAAGATAGAGCACAAGACGTGTAAAATCATACTACATTTGTTATACCTGAAAATCAGGGTGATTTATACGTAATTAATCAATTAAGTGCAGTGCAGTCAGAACTTACTTGGGTCTAATAAAAGCGAACGTTGCTATCGTCATTATCAAACATATGATGGATACAATGCAACCCACCATGCTTATGACAGTCAACACTTCTTGAAACGTAGATAATTCAGGCTCATAAAAGTCCTAAAAAGAACAAAATAGAACACCACGTAAATAATAATAACATTGCTCAAATAGGAACATGTTGTAATAATCGTTATCAACGAAAAGTTTTCTTGTCAACTCATCTCATCACTCAACTCAACTCATCAATAAAAGAACTTTTCGTTGATGAGTTGAGTTAAAAATGATTATAACCTGTCTCTTATACACATCTTCAATGTCTAAAGTAGGAACGTATACGATGACATAATAACCATAAACAAAATTTTATTTCGATATATATATCATACCTTATATTGTTGAATTTTTTTTTACAAGAATACTCACAACTAGAATAGAAAAGGCAGTAAGATGATCACACAAACATATTACACGTCCGTCTTTTGTGCCATTAAATGTGCATCCTTCATTTGACCAGAGGCCTTCACTGTCGTTAGGAGCAATGTCCCAGAACACGCATTCGGTGTTGTTCGTTGTTTTCTTTAAAATTCAATATAAAATAAACTATCCCAACTCACAACACCAATTATAGCGACATGTATTTTAATTTGATAATGATCAAGATGACGATGATGCTGATGGTACGTGTCGGTAGTGTTGTTGGTGCTCTTGCTACTGATCATAATATTGATGAATAATTTGTTTGTGAGGATAATGCTGACGTTGATCGTTGATCACACTTCTGGCGAAAATCTTAATAATAGGGCGTAATAGTAATATTAGTAATTAATAATAATAATAATAATAATAATAATAATAATAATAATAATATGTTGTTCAAGGAATTAAGGAATCAAGAAAAAAATATTGTCGACAATAAAACGAGATACAGTCAAAATTTGTGCTAATACGGTACAGTTCAATGGATTTATGAAATATAAAATGTTGTTCCTGAGGATGATAATTCTGACGACGACGATAATGTTGTTGGGAATATAATTCTTAATTTCTTTATTTTCTTTAGTTTCAGAAATAGATGTTATTGATTTATAAGCTAAGTGACAGAATTATTACTCTCGGTGTCTTATCAATGGACTGGATATATATAAAAATGATAATGGTGGTGACGCTAGAATAATGGTGATGCATCAAAAATACTAACCTCTGTCGGTAGAAAAGTTGTTTTCACAGGGTATTCAAGCCCCTCTACATTGTTTACTCCCACCACTGAAGCTGAACAGATATGACTGCCAACACGGCGTGTAAAATCCAACCCAGATCCAATGTTGGCCAGCCGATGTGAGACAAAAAGTGTACCGTCTTGGAACACTAGAAATATCAATCTAATCTCGTCTTCACCAGTTTCATTTTGAATAATTGGAACAATTTCAAGTGGAAGAAAGATAGACACAGCTATCGTATTAAGCGGAATTTCCACTTCAAAGAAAGGCTTAACATCACCAGAGTCGAATTTTTCATTACCATGATCATCAGTTGAAACGGCTGCAAACCCAATACCGCTCACCAAATTTTGTGAACTTATGACAACTGTCGACACTCCTACATTAGGTTCAACACTTGAGAAATTCATTCCTGCTGCTGCCAGTGTTGTAAGTTGCAATTCTAGCGACGTTACCAAAGAAGTGCCTGTTTCACTAGCAGTAGGATTTTCGGCGTCAAATACATCGATTATGTTATTAACGATACTTACAACATCCGCTGTAACCTATAAATACAATGATGATATAAGCAACCGAATATAAAATGTGAGGCAGGCAGACATTAATTGAACTACATTTTAAAATTAAGGTAATTTGTACTCTCTTTTTTCTCTCTCTCGCGCGCATTGGATGTAATGTCATAATACATTTCCTTCACAAATTATTCTCTTAGCATCTGCAAAGCTCCATATTTTTATTGGCTTTAACTACAGTATTAGAGTAAGAACTAAATGTCTTATGAAAGAAAACTTCAGTGCAGTACTATATGTACTAAAGATTCGAGGATTGCCACTTGTTGTACTGGCCATACTATCTCTCATGCATGACCCATGTGTCCAACTGCCCTTAATTAAATAAAAGTCGAGGAGTACGGTGGCTCTTCTTTTTTAAGTTTCAAAAAATCCTCGCTTGAAAACTCTTTTGTTTATTATCAGCAAACATGTCCACTGTGCATATATATAGATCACGCCTTTCAACAAAGAACATTTACACGACGATGCCACAAAAAAATTGCTATCCCATGAGCAATTTTAAGAAGGGAAGTTTTTTCTTCTGACGAATACAATGCATGTTGCATTGCACATATAGATTAAAAACTTTTTTCCATCTGCCCTTTAACTAAACTTAATGCCACATTACAGCAAACAAACATATTTGTAGGCCTAATGAAAGCATAGGTCTATTGGTATGAAATCAAGCCGCCATACATATACACATGTTTATATTATAGTTTTTAGAATATATCGTTTGGCTTACGTAAACGTTACGTTATGAGAGATATCTTAAGGTAGAGCAACTTACCGATTCATCAGTCAATTCTAATTCGACAATGTCTTCCAAAATAGCAGTCGCAGTATTTATATCTTCTTCATTAATATATGAGTCACTTGTAATATTGGCAAGGGCACTTGCGATTCCAGCAGCGTTGTCATCAGTCACCTTCACCTTAAATTATATATATTTATATTCGTTTAATTAATGTATTTATGTAATATTTATAGCAAGGCGGTTTAGAGTTTATTTCTATCATATATATATATATATATATATATGTATATGTATATATGTATATATATATATTTATATTGTTATTTATATGTATAACATTGTGAGGAAACGAATGCCATGTATAGACTTTAGAAACACTTTACTGGAGAAAACCAATATTTTGACCTATCCTCAGGTCTTTATCAAGGTACATGAAAAACTAGCAAAAAATAGACATAACGTGGTTATGTATTTATGTATGTCCACTTTTTGCTAGTTTTTTTTCATGTACCTAGGATAGGTCCTGTCTCTTATACACATCTTAGCGAAATATTTTGCCATCACGGTCTATTACGTAATTGCCTTGATTGTCCCTTACTTTCGGGAATCGTCCACTGAACATACTTCCGATCATTGAGTCGGGATAGGTAGTCAGAGTAGATACACTTGTCATGTAGTATTTGCCTCCTACATTAAGGCTGACAATTTGGTCTTGTTTCATCTCTTTCAATCCCCAGCTGAAGATGCCTTAATCTGCTAAAAAAAAAAAGTCTGTCTAAGTCCTATCTGTATGATCTGTATTTGAAAAATAAACATGACACGGTGTTAATATTCGAAACGTTTAATCCACAGCCCTGATGATGATGACGACGATAATGTTGATGAGTCTCACCATGGTCTCTCTACTGACGTCAACTTGGTTCCTTGGGGTTTTTTACTTCATAATTTTCTTTATGAATATTTTTTTTTTCGTGTAGGCCTATTATTTTTACTTTATAATTTCTCTAAAAATTGTTTTTTACTTTATAGTTTCAACATTAGTTGGCAATGAGGAAAAAAATGTTCTGTTTAAGATGTGTATAAGAGACAGGGTGATTATTTTCAGGACCCGGGGGCTGATTTTTTTTTTTTTTTTGTTACAAAAAGAAAATTAGAAGTCAAAAAAGCTCATTTCCGCCATCTAAGAATCAAAATGTTCTCGGCGGTACCACCGACCCCATTTTATTTTTGGGGTTCATTGATTAATGGAAAAAGAGTATGTAAACAACGTAGGTATAAAGGTACACACCTAACAGGCCTATTTACTGTAATAAGAATGAGAACGTTTACCTGACCGTTTTCAAGAGGGGTATGGAAACTTGAATTTTGAAGAACTAAGTCATTAAAAGACACCTAGCTCAAAAGTCTGGAAAGCTCATTTCCCGCCATCTAGGGATTAAAATGTTCCCGGGGGAGGGCCCGGAACCCCCACCCTTTTGTTTTGGGGTTTTTGGGTAACTTTTTGACCCCACCCCACCCCAAAAAAATTGAACCCAGATTACTCTCATTCATATATTCATATTTCCATTTCATCATACTAGTGGAGCCCCCCTCCCCCACTTCGAAAAAGGTTCCGCCGGCCCTGTTAAATACATACTGCACTGTAAAGTAATTATAACGTTATTAACTGAATTAATTATGTGGGTTTCTCGTTGAAAATTCAAATGCGCGAAAGCTTTTATTATAGTGACGTTGTGCGCATTATTTTAACCCCTAATCCGCGTATTTCTGTTCTTATAATAGTTCAAAATATATTAATAATAAAAATTAATTAGCCTTTGTTTGACGGAGATGGACATGTCTGTACAGATACTGCCTTTATTCCAAGCTGAGTATCCAGAAAACTATACACAATATTGTTTTTTATGACATCTTCTGCGACACAAGTATCTGGTAAGCAAAACAAATCAAGTCATATTATTATAAAAACAAAACAACACATAAGCATAAACATTTACGTAATCTTTTGTATTCAGCTAAATAATCACTATCTAAATGCCTCGTATTGAAATAAAATATAGGCCTAATTACTGAAATTATTAAATAGATAATAATCACATCTTCGATAACATGATTTACAACGGTAAAATAGGCATAAAATAAATTATAGAGTTTCCTTTTGATTTACTTATGTAAAACGTTTTTCTGCATATTTTTGTTTTTTATCATAGGAGTAGCAACACACTGTTACTTAACTACCGGTACATGATCCTATTTTTCATATCGATATTTGTCTTACGTTACAATTATGATGTCCTGGAATATTTTTAATACCATTCTTTTGTAGTGTATCAATGAACGCATAATTGATAGAATTAGAGGGGAAAAAAGATTCACGAATGATATAATAAATACTACTGTTAATCATTATCATAGTAATAATAATCATAATTATTATAATTATAATTACAATTATTAAAAATTACTAACTAAAAACAAAGACAGTAATAATAACTGTTAATACTGTTATTGTTGTTAGGCCTCCGTTACTAATTAAAAAAAATGGAAGCCTAAAGACACTTTCAGGTGAAAATAACGCAAACAATTTACAAACATTTAAAATATAAAGCAGTTGTACAATATGTCTAACTGTATGTTGAATATGTTCAACAACGAAATAAATATAATCAATGGAGATACGTTGCTATGCTGTATTGTTTGCAAATAATATTACAGTACTACAAGTACGAACTATGCGTACCAATATGTACGTGATGCTATGAAATGTATCCGAAAAATGTTTGTGTTTTACTATAACTATTACAGAAAATGTATAATAGTAACTGTTATACGTTTTCTGTCAAACATACATATTACAGTATGTCCAATAATATTGAATAACTATCATGGGTGCGGTGTTGTCCCCATAGGGTTTTACTTGGGCTAGGATTGAACTATTGAAGTCCCACCTGGGATTTTGGTGGAGAATCATGTGGGGTCCCTGGGGCGGATGCAGGGGGTGCTAAATTGTATTAAGAAAAAATTGTTGTATTATATTGTTGATATGAATTATTGGTAAGATTTTTAAGGTACATGAGAGTGCAATTTCCGGGCACCCAGAGGTCCATATTCTCAAAATTTTCGGCGCTTCTCATAGGGTTACTTAATCGATTTTAGAATCTGCTAATAAAAAAATAGATACATTTTTTTCTTTTCCCAGACGAATTATGTTTTTCTCCCCGTCGGAGGGATGGGGCAATTCTTCCTGACGGGGGGACCCGTCAGCTAAAAGAAAAATAATGTTACTGGTTTTATTGTGTATATATTAATGTCAAGATTGTTTTATAGCCTATTACTTACACGACGGCGATGTAACTGCTCGTTCAGTTTGCTCCACTGCTTTTGTCGTTAAATATTCTGAAGTTTAATATAAAATAGCACTAGAATGACGTACTTAACTAGAATGAACGCAAATTATTATTAACATGTTTATAACATTTATAAAATAACATTTTATTATATCAAAATGATGTAAAACATAATTTCGCCAATCATTATATAATTACAGGCTTTACCTGTGTATATTGTCCCATATAATTTCACTTCACATAATACCAAATATTGTGTTCTGTTCTCCAACTGGACAGACACAATGTTTCCGATAGTTCCAGGTTCACATCTTAATGTTATTTTTCCAGCTGGTACATCGGCTTCATCCTCTGATACAGGCGGCCCACATGCGGTATTTAGCTTCAAATTGTTTTTACTTTTTCCAACTCTTACTTGAGCACCTTCTAGGCGTCCAGCTGAAAAATAAATCGAAGTAGTCATCCTTATCATAATCCTTATCATTGTCGTCGTAATATAGTAATTACAATAGAAGACCCGGAACTTTCGGACACATTGTTTGTGTCCATCTGAAGGGCAAAATATTCACTATTCACTACTACCACTACTACCATTACCACCACTACTGCTATTACTTCATAGTCCTAATGTCAATTAAAATAGAAAACTACAAAAAAAAAAAAGCTCACGTAGATCTTGTCTGTTGTAAAGGACAACATGTTTAATTGTATGCAAATCCTGTATGTCTACGTACCACCAAGGTTCTGCAAAAACAAGAATAACAATAACTTTTTGCAATACTAATACTAGTAACAATACAGGCATACGCTGGTTCACAAATCACAGGAGATCAAATGATGCTAGTACCATTATATACTAATTTTAATAAGGATCAAAAGTTTGTGACGATTTACCATCCAGACAAAAATGATCTGGAAGAAATATATTGTAGCGCCATTATTTTAGGTGTCTTTACACTAACATGAATCTATAAAATATAGACGAGAACTTGACACGCTACAAACTCAACACATCTCAGAAATCTTTATTCAAATTACGTTATTACAGTACAATGGAAGGAGAACAATGAGTGCGGCTGATACAAACGCGTGTGTTCACTAAAAATATTATATTATTATAACGTCACCATATTATATTAATCAATACTGTATATCCTGTTTTTACTATATAAATTGTTGGCTCAGACTTCTTTATTTAAAAGGTAATTTGTCTTTCATTTGCAATGGTCTTTCTAAAATTATGTTAAAGACGAACCGTACCAGTATGCTGTATTGTGCTTTAGAATAGTAATCTTTTCTTATGAAAATACTTACAGTATTTGGCCGACTGGGCTTCACAAAATAATTATCTAACATTATGCTAGTCGTGGAGCATATAGTCGGCGGTTGTACAGATGTTGGTAAATAGTCTTCA